GAGGTCGAGGTTACTCTTGTATACCCACCACACACCAGGGTACATCATGGATTAGCACTGATGAAGAGCACAGAGAGTGCCCAGCAGCTTCTAGGTCTTTTCCAAGCTATCAGTGTGTAGTCTGAAGTGTGCAGTGGTGCAGTTCAAATCTCACACCTCAAGTTGGACCTGGCCCTCTCACACGCCTCTCACACGCCTCTCGCACGCCTCACCACCCTCTACACACCCCCTCCCCTTTACAGGCAGGGTACTTCGTACTTTGCCAACCTAAACATCCCGACTTGCAGTCAATCTTCGCTTCAAGCAATACCTCCAAATGTTCTTAAAGCCAGCATCCCCATTTCTCGATTTCTTCTTGCCTCTTACTTCTCTGCCATACTCACCACCTTCGTTGTTTTCAATAATACTTCCTTCGTTCTCTCAAGTCTACCTCGATCCATTGCTACGTTGCCAGTATACACCAATTACTTACATTGGCAGCCCTCAGTCCACCATCCACCGTCCACTATCCAACCTGCTGTTACTTGCGATTCCGCAGGTCGCGCACGACGTCCAGCCCCGGAAGTAATCCGCCTTACACCTCTGCACGGAATTCGATGTCAAACCTTCACAACGCAACTTCACGACGCAGTTCCGGCTAGATAACACGTCCCGAATCTCCAGGAGCCTGCGTTTATTGGCCCTTGGAAGCTTGCCCTGGCTCTCCCAACATCCAGCACTGTTGCTTCTAGACCTTACTGAGGAACCTTCCCAGTCTTATTTGATTCCTTTTCTGCTTTGCATCTTATACCAATGGATTTCCAGCAGGCTCCACGGCCGCTTGGGAACCATCTCCCCTTCCCACAGGATCTCTTTGCTTGCCCGGACGAAGCTCTTTACCCTTACCCCTTGGAGATGTCACCTTGGAGCCGTTCTTCCCCTGCATTCCCCCCCTTTGACCCTTATTACTCCCAGGTGAAGAGTCTCGACAGCCATGGCCTCGGCATGCCAGGACCATACGAACATGCGCCGTCCCAGGCTCAAAGCCCTGCCAGCACAATGCCGAGCCCTCTCCTGGACTCCGAGAACTTCAGCCCCATGTCCCCCGTAATTCGCAACGCCTTCTCTCCCCCGCCCCATGGCGAACATATCGGACATTATTTCCCATTCGGACAGGATGATGGAGGCATGGGAGGTCATCAACAGGGATACGTGAATCTCGGAGAGATTGGCCACCATCCCTATCCCGACCATACTGAGAACTCCACCATCGTTGTGGCTTCCGAACCTGGCCACCTGGCACACGGTGGCGGCGTCTACTCCCCAGCGTCGCCCAGAGGAAGTGCCGATGGCTATCACCCGGACGGTATGACTGACATCATGAGCGAGTCTGGAGAGACGCCGGCTGCCTTCCACCAAGCGGATCGTATGGACGTCGATAGCCCGGCCCCTAGTCGCGGCAAAAAGGCTACACCCGCCAAGTCCTGTCCGCCCCGCAAGCGCTGCCGGCAAGTTAACAATATGACGACCAATAACAAGAAGTCCAGGCGAACGGCACCTTCATCCTCTCGGAGTTTACATTGCAGCACCTGCACCGAAATGTTTAGAACCAACAGCGACCTCCAAGACCATATCCAAAGAATCCACTCCAGGCCACTGAAATGTGTCTTCGACTATGCTGGCTGCACATCCACCTTCAACAGCAAGAATGAATGGAAGCGCCACGTGCTTTCACAGCATGTCATTCTACACTATTGGGTTTGCACCGACCCGGGATGTATGCGTGCCAACCCGGACTCCGGAGGGGCCATCTTCAATAGGAAGGATCTCTATACACAGCACGTTCGGCGCATGCATATTCCGGACAAGTACAAGGATTCCAACAACAACAACAACAACAAGTCCCCCGAGTGGGATGCCCTCCTCCGCGAAATGCAGGGACAAGCAGAGCGCAAGAGGTGCCAATTGCCTCAGTACATGCGGTGCCCCGCCGAGGGCTGCACTACCGACTTCAACAGTCCTAATGCCTGGGACGACCGCATGGAGCATGTGGCCAGGCACCTCGACAAGCCTGATGAGCCCAGAGTCGTCTTTGGGGGAGACCAAGATAGCACCCTGACGGATTGGGCTTCGAGCCCTTCCGTCAACATCGTACGCCGCGTGGGTGAGGACAAGTGGGAGCTCGTCGTCCCACTCAAGACCACCGCCAAGGAATTGGTTGCGGCTCGGAGACCGCCCGTCACACACCACCACACTCACGATTCAGAAGAAGATGCTGATGGCGAGCCGGAATAGAGGCCATTTGTTTTTAACCCATTTTTTCTTTCTTTCTTTCCTTTGTTGTTGAGAGATCTACCAATTCATATCATCCAAAAAAATAGGGGTAAGGGGAAAAAATATGTGTGAATTATTTTTTCACCACTTTGGCGGTGTTCTATCCTGTTCTCTATATTCTTCTTCTTCTTCTTCTTCTTCTTCTTCTTCTTATTTCTTTTTCCTTTCTTTATTCTTCACGGCCTGTTTTGGACGGACGGTATACAGGAAAGGGCAATGCTATTCATTAACGTCTCTCGATATATTTTTATACCCCATTCCTCGTCATTTCCTCTCCCTTCTCTTTTCTACTTCTTGCCTTTTGCACATGTCAAGAACATAAAAATACACTCACACTGATGATACAAGTTTGGAAATAGCGCATCTCTATTCTGCATTGGTCTATCTGGGTTTTCATATATTGTATAGTCTTACGTTGTTTGGGTTGATTCCTATTTGTATCATGATGGGCCTTAATGTGGAATCTTGGTTTTTTCATCTTGTGTGTTTTTCGATCCTAATATGGAGAGTGTCTGGGATCTGATTTTGGCGGCGCAGAGAATAATAATTATACTGTCTTTTTATTTTATTTTATCTCATTGAGACTCTATATTTTCTTCGTGTTCTTTTTATTTATTTTTCCTTGTATATCTGCTGTGTTTAAGAAACCTCGTCACCGCATCTTGGCGCTTGAAGAGGTGGGAGCAACTTGGTGCGTTGAGGATGATGGGCTTACACTAGATTGCCAGTGTAGACAGACAGACACATTGCCACTTGCTAGATTTTTCTTTTTTTTTTCTTTTTTTTTTTTTTCTCTCTCTTTTCATTTTATTTTATTATTTTTTCTATTAAGTATTATCGACACACTTTCCTCCTTTTTCGGTGTGTGAGAGACTTATTTTAGCGTAAATGCTTAATGATACAGCCACGGACGGACGGGAGCCTTCTCTTGCTTTTGTGCCCCTGCAGTGACACGGGAATTGTCTCCCTTCGATGCGAGTCATTTCATATTCTTTTTCGGTGTGATGCACATGGCGCTCATATGTGAGTGAATCATGAGGCCGATAAATGGCGGCAGGCTCGGAAAGAGGATGAGTCTGGGGAGGTACATCACTTATAGGATCCTCAACGAAGCGGTTCGCAACCCAGGACACATTCGTCAATTTCAATGAAGAATAAGAGCATGATCAAGATAATACCTGTTCAGGAGACAATCTCCCGCACGAGGATTCGTATCCTTAATCCTCACAACAGGATAACTACACCCCCATGGGCGGCCAGGTGGACAGGGTTGCGTCAAAGTCTATCAAGGCGAGCCATCAGGATGATCAAGGCGTCCCTCAATCGACGGACGTCGTGATCGTTTGTTTTAGCTTCTTACACTGCAATCCACCCACCTCGACGAAGTCTTCCAAGGTCCTTTTGCCCTTACGCGGCGTATTACACTACATTCGTAATGCCGGTGGAGGAAGATTCGGTGATCTATTAAGCCGGTCGGCTCGGACTTGAGTTTGGTCTTGTAAGACGCTGGTCGCTGTCGCTCCGCTGATGTTTCTGCCTGCAGTTCAATTTGCGCTGTCCTTGTCGTTGCCGTTGCTGTTGCCGCACCAGGAAACAATGAACCCCACCTCGAAATTCATCAGTGGTCACGACTTCCCTTCCGGCCCGTAACTCTAAAACATAAACGACACTTGCAGTGTTCAAATTGATGTTGTTTACCAGTACCGCGTAGTGCTTGCGTACTACAAGACTCGTATCAATTGTGCTCAGTGGCTACTCCGTAGGCTCCTACCGAGCCCGTCCCGTCTGCAATTGTGGTTTGTGTCGCACTACGTCCTCTGCAACCAGATGTCGTATCGAACAACGACCTCTCCGTTCCTCTCTCTCCTCCGCCACGAGTAGTGCGTCTCACGCTGAACCCACATCATTCGATGGCTCTTTGGGTCCTTTCATCAATTGGTCAACATCCCAGATCCCAACAAGCCACTGCGCTCTTCGACGCCTGCTTCCCCCTAGCTCATCCGTCGCCACACCAGGGCAGAACTGGATAAATCAATATCCGTACTATTAACGTGTGCGCACCAGTCGGCATTCCATACACAGAATCCTGTGTTCCCCACTACGACTAGACTGCTGAAAAGACCTCAAGCTCTCAAGCTCCCGGTTTTCTCAGGACAGAACAAGCGAGGCGGTGCGCTTTCCAAGCGTCCCAACTTACCCACTCTCTAGGCTGATTCCAAGACAGGGCTTCTGATTCACCAGCCTGTTCCGGGGTTTGGGCGATGCGACCTGTCTTGGGTCTACGACGCCGAGACAACGCTACGTCTTATATCTCCTGGATTGGTTGCACGCCTGCATCACAGCCGCAGACAAGCCCCTTGTCAGGTCTAAATCTCGAAGGCTTGGGCAACATCCATGATTCACTCACTTCTACCCCGCCACATTTGACCACACCTGTCTTGGTCAGCCGCCCACCCTTGCTCTGCTGAGCCAAAAGGTACTTACTTTCGAGCTTCGAGAAACCGTCTGCCGGTGGCGAGGCGAGGGAGATTAAAGAGAAAAGGAAAAAAAGGACAACCCCTTGAATATTGACAGATTGATAATTAGCAAACCTTGAGAAAAGGCAATCCGGAGTGGGGTATCAATCGAAGCTTGGAGGAAGTCCCAAGAGACTTGCCCGCTTTCAGGCAGTCGCATACTGCGCCGCCATGGCCGATCCTCCTGTGGGGTCGCACGCAGGATCTGATATGCTGCTATCTCCAGATGGATCTCATAGTAAACATGAATCGACTACCGAGACTGGCCCAGAGGCTGCCCGCCCTATACAACAGAGCATCAGCAACATTAGCCTCATGGAACAACCGGCTGTGCTAGCGACTGGGAGGACTTTGCCAGACACATCTGATGCTGCTCTTTCGGGATCCGATGGTATATCTAACAACTCTGGCGGTGAGGATGATGGAAGCGACAGTGGCATAGATGATCCAAACTGGGATGCGGTGTCAGAAACTGCATCCGAAACCCTATCGCCGGAGGAAATTCTTGCGCAGGAGCGTCGGCGAGAGGAGATTAGGAAAGGAAAGGCCAAAGAGGTCATCTCATCTAGGCCAGGATCCCCATCTCAGTCACACCACGGGGAAAACACCCGCGATCCGCCTTCGGACGCGTGGTTGCCCTCTTCTGACATGGGACAACCCTTAGAGGTTGCCATACGCCAACTTGCATTGCGAGAACCCCTTGCGGATCTTCTTGAGAGGAGTGAAGATGGAGGAGCGAGTCAACACGCAGTGCCTGGACCGTCCGCCGAGGGCGGTCCAGTTCTATCAGAGCCAAAGGCTGGGGAGACCGCTGAGACCGAAGGCTACTTTTTCGTTCCGTGGGAGAGAGATCCCGATCGACCACTCCAGAAGTTACCTATTCGGTTCAGAGACTGCCTGGGACGCACATTCTTGTTTCCGTGGGAAAAGGCCAGGACATGGAAGGTTTGCTTTCTCCCCCACTCTGTCATTGTTTAGTTTTCTTTTCTTTTCTTTTCTTTTTCTGTCTGTCTTCAACATGTAACCAGATTAGATGGCGACCCATGAAAGATGTGCAGAATCCGTGCTAACATTGCCTTTTCGTAGGGAACAAAGCATTTAATCAACGAAGCACTTGGCCATGTGGATGACATTGGTGGCCAGGTGAAGGCAGGCCATTACGACCTCATAGCTTGGGATGTCTGGGAATCTGAAAAGTTTGCTTCTATCAACCCCAAGTTGACGAGTTATGTGCAACCCCCACAAGAATCACAACACAGTGAGGACTCGTCCTCGGGCTCACCGGCGGCCGAGGCGCCACCAGCCGGCTTTGTAGGCAGCGTTGTAAACGGGAATGGTTCACCAACCAAGGACATGGGGGTCAAGACGCGCAACGCTGTTATTCTTCCCGAGCTCTGGGAGTTTGTTGTCGAACCGGGCATGCTTATCTCGATGGTCCTATGGCCGTGGAAAAAGAAGAAGAAACCGTTCCACCCCAGTTCCTCTGGTTCGGGCTGGTCGTCGTTTACCCCAGGGGGTCAAATGCAAACCGTTACGGTCGGGACTGGAAGAGGCCGAGGTGGTGGTATGATACCTCCGAATCAGCCTCTCGGGCGAGGACGCGGAGCCCCTCCACCTCCGCCTCTCGCCCCTCACGGCCCTCACGCTGCCGTGCCACCCCACCTTATTCATAACCCACCTCCCGCCGGAGTGCCCCCGGGTGCTGGTCGTGGCACCTGGCAGGCGCCTCCTCCCCCCCGAGGTATTACTATCGTCCATGCCAGGACTATCATTCCAAAGACGAGGAAGAAGCAGGAAAGGTGAAAAAGGCTCTTCCTCCCATGAGCCATCCGGCGGTGGAAGACTTCCCTCTCGTCCTTTACGAAATAACCAAAAAGGGACGCACTGAGCGTTTCTCGGGACGCGTCTCCGAAAAAAAGAAGGAAAGGATGGCTCGTATTCGGTGATTGAAGAAAACGACCTGAAACTATCATTACGCCATCCGTCCGGTCTACACATTCCTCTTTATTTCACAAGCAGCTCTCACGTTTTCTTCCTTTGTCAACTTTTCTGTTCGAATTTCTCGGCGTTATCAGGGTATCAGGGTTGCATTAGGCTGGGATGGCATCATGGATATCCAGTTTTCTTTGCTTCGACACAAGTTGTATCAAGCACAGCGTGTAGGGTGTAGCACAGCGGAATTCCCATTTTTAACTTTGAGGATAACGGCTTATTCTTATCCTTCTTCTTCTTCTTCGTTGTCCGTCTATATGTTTGTGGTAGTCTAGGCCACAATCCCATCTATATCTCGTATCATGATTCTCACAGCTTCCAAATGTTCCTGCAATGTGTGATTCCCTGTTGAAGTGGTGTGTCGAAGTAACAAGAGCATACATGAAGATCTTTCTGAGCGAAAAGGTCTCGAAGACTCTCCATGCAAGAGCGAGAATCTTCATCAAATGCGCCTGTTCAAGTGTTCTTCCGCATGGAAATGGTAAGAGAGACTTGCATATCTGGGGTCAAAAGGCGTCGATCTTAGTGAACAGGCGCTTGGGCATATTGTCGTCGCAGGGCTCAAATTCCAAGTCCATCAATAGCTGGAGCTCTGATGGAGTCTCTCTTTTTCCGTTCTCCCTCGAAAAAAGCCAAAGTACATTTTTTGCGCTACTTTTGGCCATCATGCATGCTCAACAGGTCAACTGGGACTGCAATCTGACGATTCAGGGCAAATGTATGCGAGGATAGTGCGAGGGCGCGTGTACTTTTCTTTGTATTACTTGGGCTTAGGTCAATTGACGGTCAGGATCAATCCAGGATCCATGCCTGTATTTGTACTCAGTGAATCTCGCAGTTTAATAATCCTATACCAGGGTTTGAAATGTTAAATCGAGAGATGCTCGCCGCCACCGGGTATATCTTAGATCAAGTTTTATGAAGGTATATCCTCTAATAATTTATATTTAAAAATACTTATTTAGTACCTGTCAGGAGATAGGTCATGTGGTCTCAAAATAACATTTCAAACCCTGGTATAGGATTAATACTGAGGTTGTGACGTGAAGTTCTGGTACGTACTGGACGAGTGGTGCGGACTCACGTGGCCTGCGGTCATAGGCCCGACGTTGTTCCTAGTGACGCGCACGAACCACACAGTGCTGCCTTGCGGCAACTTGCTCCCTTCCATGCTCCAAAGTCCAAAAGCTGGGCACCTGGCGAAGAGCTTGTCTGACCAGTGAGCGGGCGGGTTTGTTTTGACCCCAGAGCCGCGAGACCCAATCAATCCTGCTGCTTGTCAACCTCAGTCCCCCCGTCATCAATCCTGGCACTAAAAAAAACTTCCCAGAGACATTTGCGAAGAACATTGGGAGTTCGAACTAAACCTCCAAAAGCCCACCTCTCTCCCAATCGATCCATCCTCTCGAAATCATCAGCACCTGACTTCCCCCCCCCCCTGCATTCTCCATCGGCAATTATTTCAGGCGGGTGGTTTTTCCATCGACCTCGAGATGAGCCCGCCGTCCCGCCCATAGTTTGACCTCTTTCCATCATCGACAACAAAAGCCCCCCTTGAGTCTCTCGCATTTCTTCCATCGCCCGACACGAACATCTCTCGAAAAATCCCCAGGCCCAATCGATACGAGGCCGACCCCCCGATCCATCCATCCATCCACAACCATGTTTTCCCCGGCCGTTCATGAGGCCACTGGCCCAGCCGCCGGCACGAGAAGTCGTCGTCGACAGCGTCCGAAGAGTACCGATAGCCTCGTTCAGCCGCCCAAAGCGAAGCGACAACGAGTTCCCTTAACCGAGCAGACCTTTGTGAATCCCGACGTCCGCCCTGAGATGCTTGAGGTTAAGCCCGACAGGCTATCAGCGATAGATATCAAACCCGACGGCATCGAGAACATGCCCGTACCTAAGAGGGATCTAGGCATTCGCGCAAAAAAGCCCAAGGCGAGCGAGAGGGTCAGCAAAGGAGATGGTAGTGTTGTTTTGGTATGGCTTTCCCCCTTGCTCGCGATCCTGCCTGCTCTCGCATCGCAACTTTTTTTCCCCCTTCAGACAACAATGCGGTTTTCGCCGCAATAATTAACATTGTCCCCTTTTGTTTATTATTATTAGTATTTTAATCAAGGGCTGCTAACTGATCTCTTTTTCAGAGTACAAACAATGCTTATACCGTCAGCAAGTTGCCTGCGCTCCCCGATAGGTTACGCGCTGATGTTACTGGTATGTTTATCTTGCCCGCTCTCATCGTACTCGACGGCTCCCCCGGCCTGCGCAGTCGAGCATCGTGTAAAGTAGGCTAACGTTGGTTCTTTGTAGCTCCCCAACATGGAGATATCTTCTCGTCGAGCGGCTACGCTGTTACCCTTACTCATACTCATGCCATTGTATGGCCATACACATCGACCACCCCATCACCCGAGACGTTCACTTTTTCCCTCCCGTATCCCTCCCGGAGCCCTACCGATCCCCTGCCTCTAGCGTCGCTCGTTCCTCCATCGGCGTCATCGACCGAGCCTGGCTTGGTCGTCGTAATGCCTGCCAGTGGCCGGATAACTTTCTGGGAGACTATCTCGTGCGCCGCGACCATTGACCTTATGCGCCAACAGCGACACGGTGTCGAATACGCGATCCATGGCATGTCTTCCGGCGAGCGGGTAATACAGATTACCCCGGCCGAATCCGCTGGTTTCGTCCTTGCTATGAGCAGTGGCCGCCTCGCCCACATGATGGTCCGCGACAGCCACGGACGGCCATCCATCTCAGTTCGATTCCTCGACACCAGCCTCGGTGCTTCCCATGCCGGCATTTTCGGCAGCATCCGCCACGTCCTCAGTCACTCTACCGGCCGCGGAGAGATAGCCGCTGTTCGGGCGGAAAGGTCGAGTCGTGTTGGCGAGCGAAATGTCGTCGCTGCGACTGTTAAGGGAAAGTTGATTGCGTGGAAGTTCCACCGAGGTGGCCATTACGATTCACTTGGCGAAGCTGACGTCCGCGAATCCATCATCGATGCGTTTTACGATGCTGATCAATCAGTCTCCGACTTCCCAGCCGATTCCTTCGAGCTTCTTGACTTTACTTACGTACCAAAGGGCTTGGAATCCAAGTATCATGACATGAGCAGGCTTAGCGATGCCATCGAGTCTGACGACAGCAACATCCAACACCTCCTCCTGGTGGTGAGCCTCACTAAGCGCTTCAGCGCGCGGTATGCCCTCGTCGAGGTCATCTTGGCACCCCGATCCGCTCGGATCGGCATGGTTCGTCCCATTACCTGCTACACCACTCCCATTAACACCAAGCCGGCGGTTAACGCCCTCCGGCCGCGCATCCATCTCCCACGACCAGCCCTTGTCGCCTTCGTTGTATTCGACCGCGCAGCCGTCATTGCGTCGATAGCGATACCTCCGCTGTCACCCGATGCCCAGCTTCAGGAAGATACCCACATGGCTCCCGACCTGTATGAGGACGTCATTGACCTCCGCGATGATAACGTCCTTGAAATTATCGGCTCTGGATTCGAGGAACCTCCTGCTGTTACGGGCCACGAGGATTCCAGAACCCTTCGCCACAAGGCCAAGAACCCTACCGCCATCATCATGGTTAGAGGGGTTGGCACTCTTCGAATCGCCACGACAGAGGTGGAGAGATTTGCTAGTGATAGGGCGCCGCGCGTAACTGCGAAGAGCAAGCTTGAGCAAGCCGTCTTCTACGGCGTAAAGGCCGATAACCCCCTCCTTTTCGACGGACGACGGGATGTGCAGTTCACGCACGACGAGATGTCGGAGGCCGCGTTGGAGTTGAGTCATGAGATTGTGAGCTCGACAAACCCCCATATCGGAACCCTACCCGTCTCGCTCGAGGATAATCTCAGGAGCCGCAGCCTGGCACTCGAGCGACTCATTCACTACCTGGCCTCGACGAACGTCCAGATGTCTCGACGCACGCGGTGGATGCTTCTGTGGAATGCTGAGAAGATGGCCGTTTCGGTTGCGCTGTGGAAGAAGCAGGAGGTCTTTGTCGCGCAGCGACCTGTCGACAACAAGAAGACGCTCATCACCGAAATTGTCGAGTATATTCACGAGGACCAGAAGAGCAACCCGAACACGGTTGTCGGAGAGGTAGACCGTGTCAGGCACTGGTTCATCAATGATGTCTGGAGGCTTGAGATCTTCATCGCCTGGGCGTACGAAGTTATCAAGCACATGTACAAGGGCCAGACGCTGGATGACGTTAAGCTCTCTTACCTTATGGAGGAGGCTGTTAGCGTGAACGTGATTAGCCTTAAAGGTGGCATTGATTTCCGGTTAAAGAATCTCCAGCTCTATGGTCTCGATGGGGAAGAGATGGAACACGGGATCCTTGCGGACTACACCGGACTTCCCGAACCCTGGACCGGGTCCCACTTTGTCTGCAACAACGCCAAACGTCTGCTCGAGCTGTGCCATCAGTGGCTTCAGCAATTCTACCCCAGCATGGACGACCATCGCCAGTTTGCTCGCCGACCCACCGCCGGTATTCTTTCCGAAATTGTTGCCAACCTCCCAACCCTCACCGACCAATACCTACTGTCCGTGCTGGAGCAGTCGCGCTGGGCCACGACGACAAACGATGCGAAGAAGTTGCAGTGGGCCCACGTTTGTGCCGAAGCGTACATGACTTCCCGATACGACAAGGTCCTGGCCCTTGAATATCTGGAACTTTGGGACGACGCCATGGCGATTGCGGAGAAGCATCGGTGCTGGACCGCTCTCGCCGACGTGCTCATTGTCCAGATTCACGGTCTCATTGCAAAATCCCAGGATCCCAAGGTGCCGATTGACGCCTCGGACTTGATCTTGGCCAAAGTGGACTCGCTCAGGTCTCGACTAAAGGGATACTTTGACAGGTATGGCCAAGATTTCGCCTTCGCTGCCTACGACACTCTCCTCGCAAAGGACGGGGTGATGGGCGTTTTGGACTTTGATGGTGATGTTCACGGTTACAAGACGAAGTACCTTCGAAGCAAACCCGAGTTGGCTAAGATCTCCTGGATCAACGATGTCGAGGAAGAGAAGGATGTTTCTCACGCGGCTGATACGCTCCTTGATTTGGGCTTGTCGAAAGAGCAACTACTGTGGAACAAGAAGGTCGAGCTCAGTCTTGGAAAGCTGGCTCTGATGGCTAGCGACTCGAGCCTTGGTCGAGAGTTCGCGCTCGGTCCTGCGGATACTAAATCGGCACCCGAAACTGTACGAGAGGAACAGCTTTTCAAGGTCGACAATGAGCTGGAGATTATCAAGATCCAGGACGCCCTCTTCAGGGAAATCTACCGCACCGTCGAGACCGCAGTTGACGAGGCCGCAGAGATCGAGCTGGCCATGGAAGCGCATGCGCCTGAGGTACCTAAGAAGCACAAGATTTTCAGCCAGCTCCTCGAGACCGGTATCCGACGACTCCTTAGGCACGAGACTCTCGACCCGTTGACGCTTATCGACGTGTTGACGCTGGCAAAATTCAACGATCAGACGCCAGGGGTTGTCGATGAGCGGTTCTTCTTGGCTCTATCTGTTGCTCACCACGCTCTCGTGGGAGAGGAATACAAGCAGACCAGGAGGCTTATCTGGAGGCGGTGCTTCACCCGAGACGACTGGTCGAAGATCAACGATACTCAACGCAAGCCTGACATCGAGGTTGCGGACATTATCAGCAATACGACCTTGTTCCGCACCTACGCGGCTTGTTTTGGTAACTGTAAGTGACATTTTTAAAAAATGGCCTTCCTCTAATACCCTCTTGTTCAAGGTTGCCAATGCTAATCTCCTGCCTTTCTTCTAGACCAAGATCTTAACGAACACTTCAAGCCGCTTAGTCCCAAGGACAGCCTCCACGTGTACTTGGAAGAGCTTGACCGGCGATTCAAGGACGCAGACAAGAGCTTCCGGGATAAGCTCCTGGATGCCATGAAGTGGGAGGACACGCAGCTGCGCAAGTTCATCGACAAATGCCGCCTGGAAGAGTGGGCGCGCAGCACCGACCAGGAAGCGCGCAACGCGGTTAACAGCCTCGTTGACGACACACTGGCGAAGAAGCTGGAGGCGACCCGTGTGCATACGGATATGGACGAAGACGGATATCTGGCGGACGCAAACGGTTCTGCCATGATGATGTGAGGTCAAGTTTGGGATCCCAGGCCGGCTTGTCTCTCGCGAGTTACTGATTAGAATCATTCATGATGCTTTCTTGTTCTCTTTTGTACATTGTCAATAGGGCTGGTTTTCTTTTTCTTCTCTTTTTCTTCTTTTTCTATTTAGCATTTGGTATGGGGAAAAAGGCCCTAGCCGCTCACTTGTTCGATGTCGTGTATCTCTTTTGTCAGGGTTAATATTCTCTCTTGGGCTTTTCCTTCTTCTCTTCTTCATTTTTTTTTTCTAGACGAGAAGAGACTGGAAGGTATGCAAATATCGGGCGTGTCAAGCACGAAGAAACAGAAAAAAAAGTTTACAAATATCGACAACGAGTCGAAGCGCAAAAAAAAGGGGCTAGAACCATGTTTTCCTCTCTTCTTTTTTCCATATTTCCTTTCCTCATCGGTCTGTCATGTGTTTTGGCTCATTGCCATTGCTAGTGTGTTGTTTTTCTTCAACTGGCTCTTCTTGTCTTCTTTCCCTGGTCTTGGCCTTGGCGGTTTGGGGGGAACCGGTTGAGTGAGTTTTCTTTGCATACACGGATGTCGGTATGTAACTGTACTAGTATAAGGCTTTTCCTCTCTCGAGGTTGTAGAGTTTTGGTTACGTCGCATATTGAAAATGGTGGGCGGGCTGCTGTGTGCTGTTCCTGTCCTCGTCTTTGTTGGGCGGACCAGATTGACACCACCTTCATGTTGTTCGTCTACAAGTATTACACGTGACGCAGGAGTTTTGTAAACTACAAGATATTGGAGAGGAGGGACGAGAGGGCTTTTCGGAGATAGCAGGGATACGACTTTCGGCCTCACGAGATACTCATGTGCGAGACATTTGATATTTCAGTCGAGGAAAGATCGACGTCCGAGGATTTGTCGCGGGGCGCAGGAGCAATCAAAGGGCAGTCGTCAGGAAACCGCACGCGAGTTCAATGCTGTCTCGGAGTTTTTGTTTTCTTCTTCTTTTTTCCTCTTGAATTTTCTTTTTTTTTTTTATCCCTTTTCCGGATTTCGGAGAAAAGTGAAACATTTTCTTCTCCTTCGGCAGGTCTAGTGTACATCGGGAAACTAGTGCAGCTACCTAGCTACCTAGCGGTGAGCGGTAGATTGGGTAATAGTGCATGCGATGTGAACATCGAGGCGGTCTATCACTCGACTTTCTCGCGCCGGGGTGTTGCACCAACAGATCATTGATGGTTTTGGCCTGGCGTTGAGACTGCACTGGGTCGAGTTGGGGAGGAGGGATTTGCACTAGCGCATCGGTAAACAAATAGCATGATCAGCAGGGTCCTTTGGATTGTCTGCTCGTCGCTGACCCTCGAGTCTTGAGTCTGGAGATGGTAAAGCCTCAATCAATATACTTGTCAATAAGGGACAGCGAACTGTGTTGATAGCTACGAAGTAAGGGTCGTAAAGTCAATTTGACCGAGGGGGAGGCGGCTGTGTTGGAGTTTAAACTTTAACTAAAAATTGATACAGAGTATTGATATCCGTCAATGGACGATGGACTCTTCATTGATGTATGCATACTGCGAGGGGGGTGTCTCGTACAAACATAAGAGGAGCACTAATTCGAATTGATTTGTTGTCTACGATGCAGGATGTGGGAAAGGACAGAAGGACAGCCAACGGCCAAGCTGATGTTCTTCGTACCTCGGTATCGTCTGAACCGTTGAACTGGCTGAAATTGGTCAATATAATATTCAATCGAATCCACCAAAGTTGCAATGTAGGAGCACAAAGTATCAATTCCTTCGTACTTTGGACCTGTTCTTCGGAGTGTAGAGCAATATCTGCTTCGCATGTGATATGTGATGAGAATTTTGGTCTGTTCTTGATGAGAAAAACACAGAAAAATACGGCTGGGGGCATCAACCGATAGCAGACACTGCAGACACCAATACCCTGGTCCCCTGAAATGTGACCCCGGCCGAAGTTACTGCCAGGCAATGTTGCACAAAAGGTGCCGATCAAGCGTTGGCTAGCCCCGCCTGCAGCGGTGGGATGGGGCAAGCAATAATAAGCATTGGGGTCTTGGGCCTGGCTCGGTGCAAACAGTGGAACCCGGACGCGTGATTGAGAATGGGTTATTCGAGTTTTCTTTCTATCAAGACGTCTTCTTCGTGACGGGATTTTGTTTGGTCCTTCGTAGGTCGGCGTTGAGACCCATTGTGGTGCTCGTTGATCTTTCGATGTCAGTAAATTGGCTTATACCAAGTGAGTAGTTTCCTCTGTGACCCCATTAGACTCGAGACCGCCAGAGTCGTGGCTTTCCGGTCGCGTGTGAGGGCTCAGCTTGGCGTCGTGTAGTGCAGGAGAGGAGGGTCTCTGAAGGGAGAAGTCGCATCAATAAAATGGGACCTCGTCGTCGAAAGGATCACGGGAAAAGAAGAAAAGGTAAAAAGAGGAGGCACCTGAGAGCAAGGCGAGAGAAACTAGCACTTCGTAGCATTATATGATTATATGTTCCCCTCCTGACCGATTGATTTAATCGTTTGATTCAATCCCCCATTTCTCCACACTCTGGAATTGATCAATGCCTCTGCAGCCTCTGCTGTTCACGTCCACACCAGCCTCACCCGCCATCCCGCGCTTGTGAACAGGGAGGTCCCCGGATTCAGGCCCCCCTTCGGGAATGACCGCCGTCAGCGGTCACTGGTCAGTGGTCACCATCCTCTTCGAGACTTTGAGAAAGGAGAGCCACTTGTGGGGCCATGGGCGGTTGGGTCTGAAATTGCCAGATCACACTGCGAGATTCAACCTTTTCCAATATGGAAGGTGAGCGAGGCATTTTCGCTGGCGATTTGAGACTCAATTCGCCAACGGGCGACCATTACTCTGTGCTTGACGAGAAATTTTGTTAAAAAAAAAAAAAATCCCATTTGTTTATTTTTTAAGGATGAGCCTGAATGCTGCGCCAAGTCAGTACAATGCACCCGAAAAGAGAAAGATTGATCCAAAAGCAAATATCCGACTCCCCTATACGGAGCCGGCGTTAAGCCTCTTCCGCCTATATTTAGGGTCTGGCGGTCTCCAGAGTGTTCATCAATGGGTTAAGATCACCCCCCAGACCCGACCTCCAAAGGAATTTGACTTCGTATTGACATTAATCCTCGGGCTGGGGTGTTCACTAAACTTGTCCGCGTTTGGCAACGAAAGATCAACTCCGTCGTCATTGTTGATTGACGAAGCAAGAAATTGTATGAAGGAGGGTATTGCTCGCAACCTCAAATCTAAGAAGTGTGAGCAATTTGAATGGATCGGGTTATTGATCTCGCATCCCCCACGCCAAAGCCTGCATGTCCGCAGGGATCAATGAGGTCAAATCAATCGGCAGAGTATCAGTCCTGGTCCCTGACCCCTACGAAGTATGAAGTCAGAAAAAAAAAATCTTAATTGACCAAGAGCTAGTATAACCACTGGAGTCAAGGAAAGTGCAGCCGTGAGAGGATATCAATTGATGGATGGATGGACAATATGATACTACAGACCCCTCTCAAGGGACCTGGGAGCCAAACGCCAGGATCGACAGGCGGCTTGATTCTTGTTGGTCAAAGCCACCAAGAAGGGGGTCAGAGAGACAGTGAAGTATCAATGCCCGTTCTCAGTTCTCAGCACTTCGTACTTTAGGACCATCGGCAGCATCTGACGGGCACACCCTCGGGCTTTCCCTGTATCTTACTTTTTTTCTTCTTTGCTGGAGGCATTTGTCTCTCCCGAAGTCGTCTTCCTCGGGATAGCTCTATCACGAGATTGCGGCTGTCAAACTCCCAAGCTAGTTTCTATCGATCGCTCATAGCCAGGCACTCTGGCTTGTGTAGTGCCTCTTGTCAACCATGATTGAAGACTGTTCATTGAGGAGACCGAGATGACTTAATTTTGGGGCCGAGCAAGGTACGAAGTACTCCTCCTGTACATGTCTGGTGAATGGGGGCTTGCGAGGCGAGGCGTACACGACAGACCAGTGTACCACCCACTATTAATGTCAACAACTTGCTTGCCCCTGTGTCCTGATCAAATTGACCTCTTCCGATATCCCGGATGAAGCCTTATCCCCATTGAGAGCAGCAAAGCCTCATTTCTACCCCCCCAACTCTGGCATAACCTAGTTTAATAGTGAACTGTGAAGGAAGGTGGCAAGAAAGACACTTGCCCCAACCAAGCCCTCTCCATCCAGCCTCCCTTGTCGCCTGTTTTGTCAAGTTGGCTGAATAGTAGTGTACCCACGACGCTGACCGACGGCCCACGAACCACGGCCCATGACCCACGCGACTCGCCGAGCTGTTATTACTACGAAGTAAGTTCAAATTCGTCTAGTGGTCCCCGTCGAAGCATCAATCCTATGTAGCCGTTTATGTACATACGCTGCAGTGCCTGGAAGTGTGACCCAAGCACAGAACACTAAACGCAGACCAGCCAAGCACCAGAGCATAATTCGTCCTTGTACCTCAGCACACAGGTACACGGGCAGTCCATGTTGTACTTCGTAGTGTATTCAAATTATGTTGAAATTCTCCACCCCCGCGGCACCTGGCTGTACCTCAGTACCTTGCTATACCTTTAACCGCCTTTCCAGCCACGCGAATTTTGCACTAGACTGTTGTATACCAATGTACTGATCTTAGGCCCACTAGCGGTCAGGTACCATTGCCGTACTTCGTACTCCGAGCTTGATGCCATTTCCCCCTTCAATGTTCCTAACCCGTTCCTTTCCCTTTCTTTTCTTGCCTTTTCTCTCCCCATCAATATTTCTCTCTTCTTCATGTTCCCTCGCTCTTCTCCTCCCTCCCTTTCCAACCCGTGACTCCAACCGTCCAACACGAGAATCCCCTTCTCTCTCGTGCTGTGTCCTGTCGACCTGCTTTTCACCCCAGGTCCAGCTCAGTAAACATTCGAAATATTCCACTTGATCTTCCTCCCCCGAGCAGCGATAACCGACAAGCGCGAAGTCGATTTAATTTTTCCCCTAAGCAGTCTTCACCTACAATTGTAGTGTCTCGTCCCTGCTGCCACCGCCGATTGTGTTGACCGATCAACCTCCGCCCTCCACCCAGCACCGTCTCTGGCTCTCGCCACCCGTTCTAGCGCGCCCACTCCTCGACCTGCCTCTGGCCATCGAAGTGCCCTCCTCCCTTTCGAACCACACGACACGACGACGTCGACACCCTCTCTCTTCATTCGAATCACCCTCATCGAATTTCTCCCCGTCTTCGGGCTACATGCAACACAGTGTAAGTCCTCTCACAGTGCTTCTACTTCAATGTTGTTGCCTCCAAAGCTATTTTGGGAGGTCACTGCTTGCTCCGGAAGGAGAAAAAAAAATTGCACCCACTACAACCACCCCCAGGAAACCCTCCTCAGCGCCCCAAGCCTAAGCATCGTTGATTGCTGTGTACCCACTCTACCAACTCTCGACTTCAACTTGTTTTCTCCTCCCACTGTGGTTCCATTCAATTTCCTTTAATCCCCAGCGCTGTCCATCTCTCTCCTGCGAAGACAGACAGTATCGAAAATATTCCTGTTCATATTTTCTCGAAATGGTGTTTTGACCATCAACAATGCAACTAACTTGTCATCTTGATTGTTAGACACGAGAGCATTTCCCCAGTCTGTTCATGTGCTGAACCAGCCAGCCAGCGAGCCTTGACATTTCAAGCACGCGTCGGTCTTTCTTCTCTCTCCCTTCGCTTGTTCCTGAACATTATCTGCTCCAGCCAAAGCCTCCCGCGCCTCTAAGATCCCCTTCTTTCATCCTTCTTTTTTCATATCCATCAACATGGCATCCTCATCCTCAAATGTCGTTGGTGTGCACTACCGAGTAGGCAAGAAGATTGGAGAGGGATCATTTGGTGTTATTTTCGAGGGTACAAATCTGCTCAACAATCAGCAAGTGGCGATCAAATTTGTGAGTACCAGGTTTTTTTGGGGTTTGATTTTGGCGTCTTCGAACCACCAATATTGTTAGACTCATGCTAATTACTCGTCCCCAGGAACCCCGGAAGAGCGATGCCCCCCAGCTTCGAGATGAATATCGAACCTACAAGATCCTCGTCGGATGCCGTAAGTGGAGCCTTTCTCTTGCCCCCAAGTTCCCGGTCGATAGAATAGCTACGCCCTAGCGTCTTCTCGACTAACAACCTCTCAGCCGGTATCCCGAACGTTTACTACTTCGGCCAGGAAGGCCTCCACAATATTCTCGTCATCGATCTTCTCGGTCCCTCTCTCGAGGATCTTTTCGACCGATGCGGAAGGCGATTCTCGATCAAGACCGTCGTCATGGTCGCCAAACAAATGGTAAGGCGCTCCATTCCGAACACAGCCCCAATTTAAGACGTATGGTTGCTGAGTCTCATCCTCTTAGTTGTCGAGAGTGCAAACCATCCACGAGAAGAACCTCATCTACCGTGATATCAAGCCCGACAACTTCCTCGTTGGCCGCCCCAAGACCAAGGCAGCTAATGTCATCCACGTTGTCGATTTCGGTATGGCCAAGCAGTACCGCGACCCCAAGACGAAGCAGCACATTCCCTATCGCGAGCGAAAGTCCCTTTCGGGAACCGCTAGGTATATGAGTATCAACACCCATCTTGGACGAGAACAATCGCGACGTGATGATCTTGAGGCCCTCGGCCACGTCTTCATGTACTTCCTACGCGGAGGCCTGCCCTGGCAGGGCCTTAAAGCTGCTACGAACAAGCAGAAGTACGAGAAGATCGGCGAGAAGAAGCAGACGACCGTGATCAAGGATCTCTGCGAGGGCTTCCCCGAGGAGTTCTCCAAATACCTAACCTACGTGCGCAACCTCGGTTTCGAGGATACCCCCGACTACGACTATCTCCGTGACTTGTTCACTCAGGCCCTCCACAGCGTCGGCGAAGTCGAGGATGGCGAATACGACTGGGACAAGATCCCTACCGAGTCGGGAAAGGGGTGGGACTCGGGGAAGCATGGCCCCGGATACCTGCACAACCCCAACGCCCGTCCCGGCCCTTCCCAGATGGACCTTCACGGCAGCCGCCACGTAACAAACTCTACTCCCCACCAGCAAACCCAGAACCTCACTGTCGGCCGTTTAAACGCCGCGCAACCCCCCCCTCCTTCACCGATCAAGCAGCTGAACAAGCCGAGAGATCGGTCAAACGTCCCCGGCGGTCTAGCCGCGCCGATGGGCAACGGGGTGGGGGGTCATCACGGAATGCCCACACCCAACGGCTCAACCCAGGCTCAGTTCCAGAACAGCACCCAGAACCTTCCACAGAGGCCAGCTCAAGCACCCCACATGACGGCTCAGCCGCAAACCAGTAACGCACAACTCCCCAACGGTGCTGCCGCTACCCCGGAGCCTACCGGCTTCCAAAAATTCATCAAGGTCATCTGCTGCGGCTAAGTCTCGTCCCGCTTCATGTTGGGCTCAGTACACCTTCTTTTAACTCCCCTCTCGTGTGTACCCGGTTGCTTTTGCTCTTATTGTTGAACAAGGAGCGGAAAACCTTCCGATTTCGACCCTACACAGACCTGCCGCAATGGAGATATACTGGGGCATTGGAATTCTCCGGACAATCAACCCGGCTCGGCACACGAAATGTTGTTTTTTTGTTATTTCCTCCTCAAATCGTGACACGGCAAGCCTCTAGGAGTCCTCTGACGGCACTTTCTACGCACAGACTAGACCGCGTGTTTCCGCCTCTTGCATTTTGTACCCAATCACGATCATGATCCTTGTTCTGGCGTCGGACGGCCTTCTCTTGTGACGAGTCAACTGTTTGCAATATTGCGGTTCTTTCCCCGCCTATTTCTCATTCTGCATCTCTTTTCCTTCCCTGTCTTGTGTTTTCTTGGCGTTGTTCTGTTTGTTTCTGGCATAGTGGCGACATACGGAACTTGCATCGGCCCTCACCGCGCAACCCGCCGAGTTTCCTTCTCCCTCTCTTCCACGGACTTGGAGATCCCTGAACGACAGGGAGGGAATAAACTCTCGCCATCAGTGTTCGCATTGAAGCTAGATGCCCCTTTGGAGTACCCAGCCCCATTGAAGACTAATATGACCTACGCCGCTTCGACTTCTACCGATGTTACCGAACGCCTCCCGACTACATGACAAGGACAGGAGGCAACATGGGACGACTGGGGACGGGCGTCATCTGTGTTTTATTTTCTTGGGAGCATCCTTGGAGGTTAAATACCGGCTTCGGCAATGGCACTGATTTCGCCATTTGACGATGTTTGGCATTGGTACTCTGTAGGACCATTGTATTTCCTTTTTTTCGGTGTCTATTCTTCCCTTAATACCCCTCTCACGGGGGCGCCTCTCACAATACTGCCGTCTCTCGTTCCTGGGAAGTGGAAACCGAGCCCTACCACACCGGAGACAGCATTGCATTTATGGTTGGGAAGTGGCATCTAGGAACTCGACCTTTCACCCGGATCGGGCTGCTGTCGGAGCGTTTGGGGGGGATGGGTTCCTTGTCATAGTAGTAGTATAAGCTGTTGATAGACCAAGAAGAGTATACGGAAACTCGAGCATAATCTGATAACTTAAACTCAACAACCTGCTGTGCATTTTTCATGGTGACTTTCAAATTGTAACATCTTATCCCTATCGTCCAGCCATGTTCATCGTTTGCCCATCTCAGGTGCTTCTCCCGCAGTCAGTTACTACTTGCGGCGAGAGAAAGCTATCACGATGTACACTATGAAGAAAGAAGATTGGAGAAGTACTTGAAGAGAGAACGGACGTTATATTTGGAGAGAGTAATAGCACCCTCACACAAACCCCAGGCGCAAAAAAAAAAAAAAAAAAACACGCCGGTAAACAAGACAGACTACCTCGTCATACCAAGCTAGGTCCCAGAGTTCCCGGAGAGACCACTCCATGCCTTTCCTAAGCCCTTCCCTTTCCATAGACCTTTCCCATCCCGCTCCGAATACCGCGCACACAACAGCTTACATCGATACATCTATTTTGCCATCATGTATATTAAGAGATAAAAAAAGAGAATAACGCGCGTAAAGAAAAACCATGGTTCCCCCGAGTCGCCAAAAACGAATCCCTAAATGGACAGTTCTTTTTTTCCCATCCTGGAAAAGACGGAAGAATGTCATGTATTTGAACAGTTTCACGAGAGAGAGAGAGAGAGAGAGAGCATGGCGGGTTAAAAACAGAAGTAGTGGTGGTATTCAGGTTTAGGTGAGCTTTTGCTTGATGAAGAAAGAGCGGAGGTGGGAGAGTTGCCAAGCGCAGGTTGCCGAGAGGATGACGAGTTGGATGACGATCCAACGAATGACACGGGCGTTGGTGGCTTCGGATTGATCGCGGAACTCGGCCTCACGTTCCTGAGTAAAAGGGGGCAGAAGGTTAGCATAAGGAGTCTCCGTCGTTGCTTCCAAGGCTGCCTGCCTGTGTGTGTGTGTGTGTGTCCACGAATACTTACACGCTGGAACACCTGCTCTCTCCTAACATCATTAAGGCGCGCGTTGAGATCCTTGATACGGCTAGCAATGTCCTCGAGCTTGTTCTTGTCGGAGCTCTCAAGCTGGCTGGTCTCGCCGATGGCGAGGTCGAGGTTCAGGCGGACGCCACCGTTGGGGTTGTTGACGCTGAGCCATCCGTTGCGGCCGGACGAGGAGCTGGGGGTGAAGCAGAGCTTGTGTTCGCCCGCGTCGGCGGCGGTGAAGGTGAAGCGGCCGGATTTGGAGCCGCGCTGGGAGACGACGCGGTGGTCATTGTCGAAGATTTCCTGGTCTTGTGTAAGTCACTCAAAGCATAAATCACCAAGACAGGGACCAATGTAGTTTTGCAAGGCGCAATAGAGAATGGGAAGAGGGAAAAAAAAGAAGAAAACTTACATCGACAGAGATGTAGATGTTAATGCCATCATGAGAAACCCACGCCCTCCTCTGCTCGTCGTACTCCTCGGCTGTGTAGTCGCCTACCACGAGGGTATCCTTGGGGAGCTCCTCGATAAAGCATTTGGGGGTTACGCCATCGATATAGAAGTAGAGGGCCTGGGCTAGGCCGCTGAGCGCTAGGAGAGGGAAGAGGGCTCGCATTTTGCTTCGGGGTGGATGGGGAAGATTGCTGTTGGGAGCTCGTGACCAGCTGTTAAAAGGGGGACCGAGGAACCAATTTGGTGATATAATCCGTTGATTATTCGGAAAGGTATCACTGTGGTTCCGGGGCGTGAGGGGAGGATACCGCTCGGAAGGTCCTGGTTGTGCTTTGCTGAATTGAGGACGATGGATCGAAAAGGGGAGGGTGGGAGGTTCGTCAACTTGGGCTCTCTCGTCAATCTCGTTCGCTGCGCGGTCTCGATGCGAAGCTGCCACGTTCGAAAATTCGGGCTGAGAGAAGGAAAGGGGACGTCACGTGGAGATACGACTTATCAACCCAGTCCTGGTAGACGTCTGGTTCCTTGAGCCAGATCACGGCAAAACCTCGGGAGATTAAGCACGGTCGCGTCTTGGGAGGCTCGATTTTATCGTCATGGAAGTTCCTCCACCCGAAAACTTTCAATTAAAGTTACGATCCAAGAAACAGTCCCACCCCCGAATCTCGAGTCATAGCCACCGCACCTCATCACGACCCCGACTGCATATTTTCTTTTGCGAGCTAGGATCTATCGGTTAGGATGAGCTCGGACTAGACATCCACACGATCATCAGTACCCCAACCCCATCACGAATTCCATCCTCATCTGCGCCTCAGAAACATATATCGAATCCCTGACCAACGAAGGGACGACGCAAGGATGTCGTCTTCCGACGTTCGCGATGTCCTAAACCTACCGTCCGATGGCGCCCCCCGGCCATTTAAAAAAGCGAAGTCCTCGGCGCCCCGAGCGAATCTCAAGGGTCTCGCGCGAGAAGTGCAGAGTCTCGGAGGCGACAACCCCATCGTCATCGCGCCGGAAGTCACTTTCAAGAAGAGACGGTTCATAAACAAGAAGCCCGCGGCATCGTGGGAGCTCAGGCCTTTCCGAAATTCGGCGCGCGATGACTCGAGTCTAGTACTAAAGCACTGGAGGAGGAAACCCGAGCTGGCGCCCGGTGCTGAGCCTACGGCGACTGGAGAAAGTGGCGCAGCGAACGGAGATGAGAAGAAGATGGAGGATTCGGCCTTTGCGAAGTACAGCGTCAAGGTCACCGTTCCACAATACAGCGACGACCAATATCGACTCAACCTGCAAAACTTGGACTGGACTAAGGACGAGACGGACTACCTATTGTCGTTGGCGAAAGAGTACGACCTACGGTGGCCGGTAATTTGGGATCGGTACGAGTTTGTTCCTTCGGCTTTGAACGGCGAGACGGGGGCGGACGGAGATGAGAGTAAGGCCATCATCCCGGCGCCCAAGGATCGAACGTTGGAGGACCTGAAGGCGCGATATTACGAAGTGGCATCCAAGATGATGGTCGTGCAAAAACCGGAGCAGTACATGACGGATGCCGAGAAGAACCTCTACGTGGTGATGTCCAAATTCGACCCCGTTTCCGAGGCGGCACGGAAGCAGTACGCCGCTGCGTTCCTAGAGAGGTCGAGGGACGAGGCCAAGGAGGAGGAGTCGCTCCTTGTCGAGGTGCGGCGCATCATGGCGCGTAACGAGCGGTTCAACGAGGAACGCCGCGAATTATACCGGCGCCTCGACTATCCGCACACGGACCAGGACATCAGCAGCTTCAAATCCAGCGCCGGCCTACAATCCCTACTACAGAATCTCCTGGCCGTCGACAAGTCGAAGAAGAGGAAGTCAATCGCCCCTGCCGCCGCCGAAGGAACGAGTCCTTCGACCGCCGCCCAGGCGACGCCGACGGAACCCAGCACGACACAAAACCGGCGCGATAGCATCGCCGCTTCGTCTGCGGCGGCTCAGGCCCGCAGAGAGTCAAGCAGCGCAGGACCCACGCAGACGCCGACGGCGCCGGCGGCGAAGAAGGGCGCGGCGGCAGCAGCAGAGAAGAAGAAGCTGTCGCAGCAAGACCAGATCCTCTACGGCGTGTCGCACCACGACAGGCTCTCGTCCGGACCGACTTTCAGGACGGAGAGGATTAATAGGCTCTTCAGCCAGAGGTCGGGCCAGATGCAGCTGCGCATTACAAATGTTCTCACGGAGCTTGACTTCCCCACGAGGCTTACGATGCCTACGTACAATGTCACGACTCAGTACGAACGGTTGCTATCGTCCATCATCAGCCTGCTTGATGTCAGGAAGCAGGGAGACAAGCTCGACTCGGAGCTCAAGATCGAGACGCAGAAGAAGGCGCTTCGCGAGGCTGAGGCCAAGGCGGCGGAGGATGAGGCTGGCGACAAGGATAAGGCGAGTGGTGAGGCTGTGGAAGAGAAAGCATCCAGCGCCGCTGCAGGCGAAACCGCCAAGAAGTCCGACGCAAATGCACAAGCAGAGAAGGACTCTGAGAAAGCTACTACCACTCCCGCTGCTGAGGCGGCGGCCGGCTCCTCGGGGGACAAACCAGATGCCACAGCGCCCGACGGCCCCAAGGAAGGGGCTGAAGCCGCAGGTGGTGAGAAGGATAAAGATAAGTTGGCACGGCCGGGCAGTAGTGGGCACAAGCGTAGCGCGAGTGTGCTTAGCACCACGAGCGACAAGAGCTCCAAGAGGCAGAAGAAATAGCTTTGGGAGACCTCGAGAGGCGAGGGCCGTGGCTTCCTTTCTGGCTTATGGGAGGCTTGGAGGAGAGAGTATCATTGATGTTTTCAAAACTATGGCGTTACAGGAACTGGCTAGGGTTATGTTGGGGCTTATGGGATTGTCTTCTGCGGGTTAGGGAGCATATAGCTCGAGGGATTGATTGCTTGAGCTATTTGATATGTTGGAGAGCAGAGCAGAACATGTTGTCAAGGTGCCATGAGCATCTCTTAATACCAGAGGACCACCATTGACCTCTTATCGTTCAGTCTCAATGTGATATCGTGGCTACCGTTGCTCGTAGAGCCCGAGTGCGGATTGCCACATCTCAACGACCGAATCTCCTCCCAGCACCATGAAAGGTGCACTCGCTCACTTGCTAAGATTTATCTATCTGTCACCACGCCAATGGCTCACAACACACCTTCAGCTCTCCAGCCATAATGCCTACAACATTCGGGCGCCGAGACGGTTTTCCATAGTTAGAACACCTCACGATCCCAACAGGTCTTCCCGGCATTTCTAGCGGTAACACTTATCCTTCCGCAAAGCCCCAAAGAGCACCTGCTCCATCACCGGATTCCGAGACGGGCTCGGACCAAACTATGCCGATCCCGAGAACAGACCAAAATCAAAATCAAGCAGTACGGCTTTCATTCCTTCGAAGCGCTCGGTTTCACCCCCATCGCGACCTGATAGCCAACGAGAATAACAAAACCGTTACCCTCATCACATGCTCCTACATCCTACGTGATATTTACTCGGCTTCCTCGTCGAATTACAAGTGCTCAAGAAAATGTACATCGAGACTACTTCCTTGACAATGCCATCGCGAAAGGGAGGTAGGGTGAAGGGGGTGTGTCAATAGCCGCTCGGAGGCTCGAACAAAATTTGCTTTGTGTACCCAACAGCAGCAGGAATGCCCTTTCCGCATAATCCCACCCCATTCTGGTATTTTATTTTGTTTCTTTTTCCTTTCCCCCTTTCCTCTCCGTTTCCGCTTCCCGGTAGCAAGCCGAGGGTTTTTTTTTTTTTTTTTTTTTTTTTTTTTTCTTCCACTCTTATTGTAGAAGGGGCTCAGGTAAGTGAGAAAGTCTCGTTTGGGTATGGCAAGCGAGGAAGGTGGGAAGCACAGAGGGAAGAAACAAACAAACGGTGAGAGATCAATTTAGGAGGATAATGTAATAATCACTAAGCAGGCCGATGAGAAAAGAACAGAAAAGAAAATAGAATCTTCCTGCAGGAATAAACTGCGAACGTTTGGGGGTTGTGTGTTGGACAAGGGTCTTGGATACTGTCAACATTCGAGTGATGAAAGGGTTCGCCCATTTCTCGTATGTAAAATTAGGCCGAGGCAGAGGAAGACGAGAGGCAAAAACAAGAAGAAGAAAAATGAATATAATCAGCTCAAAGGAGTATCGTAGTATTTCCCAAGAAGAGCAGAAAAGAAATCGGAGGTCTTGCGAGAGAATAATGTACGAGTAAGCGACGAGGGGGGAAGCGAGGGCAGAGTGGTAATTTGACCCTGCGGTTATTTTGTTTCTTATTTTAGAAACGAGCAGATCGTCCTGCGAGATCTCGGTCGCAGTCCCCAGCTCCCACCTGCTTTCTCTCGCTTGTTAGTGGATGGTGTGTGTCTGTGGGAGGTTGGAGCACAGGGTGTGAGTGTCTGGGAGGCAGCGTGTGTTGTGCGTCAGGGCGGGTTGGGAAATAAGAAAAGGCGGCAGGTCGGATCCCAGAACAGAACAGGACAGGGGGGAGAATGTCTAAAAATATCTTTTTTTTTTTTTTTTCGCCTCCCGCTAATTCCTACCTGCATTTACATCGTGCTTCGTGCGTCCTGCTGTCCCACTTCCACGAGGAACGACCTCCCGCGACATATTACTTTGGACTGCGCATTTTCCGGGGTCGATGTTCCCGAAGCTCCCCGCCCCCTTCTGGCGAGGGAAACGATGAATACAGCCTGCAGGAAGCGAAGCGTAGTAATGAGCGTTGGCCCTTGAGTGAGAGAGAGGGAGACAACTTGGAGATCCACTAGGCGGGACCAGGCGGGACCACGGCCATCTTCCGCGATGAAGAACGCGAAGCGACACGACGTTGCATGTTCCTATGCGTGCGTGTGTGCTTTTCTTAGATCCCATGCTGGCTTAGGTCGCATTTCAATCTCAACTATAGTATGCCACTTGTGGAGCGGACATTTTAGATTTGCTTCTATTCTGGGAATCGGCCAGATTGTGATCATCTGTCTCGAAACATGCAAACGAAGGACCGAATCTCTCCGTTTCACCGGGGATGGCGGCGGGCACAGCAGTGGCTAGGGCTAGACTCACTTAAGCGCTTACTATCTGTCCTGTCATCTCTGGCATTCGAGCTTATTCGTCGCCCCCAGTGATTTTCCTTGCCGTA